TTTTTTTTCGATTTTCCAGATTTTATATAAATGCCAGGCAATTTTTATATGAGACTGGTCCTTTTTTTGTCAATGATAATCTGCAAAACTGGGATCGTTATGAGTACAAACATTTTTTATTTATTTTGGAATTATACATTCATATAAAACAAGCCAATAAGCACAATACCTTATTATAAATGATAAAAAATTGTTAGTTTTTGTACTTGGTTTTTAACTTTAGTCCTAAAGAATATCTGTGATCTACAGGACTCTGAAGACATATAGACATCACAACCATCAAAAATATCATGAGATATTAGCTTAAAATCTTATGGGTTAACAACTGGTTATGGGATTTTTTTTTCCTTTGACAAATATCCATAAAGTAAAATAAAATTTCCTTTATACTCTTATGTATGTGCATGTTAGAAAACTTGATCATGTTGCCCTTTTATCTAAGCAACTAGTCAATGCACAAAAAAATATTGATTTTCATTGTAACATATCCTTCCCCCACTAACATGAAATGTGATAACACCTTTGTCAAATGTTGGGAAAGTAATAAGTCAAATGTAAGGGTTTATTTCAGGTCATGGCATGGGATGCTGAATACTAAAGCTGTCTCTGTACTTGTAGAGCTTTGCAGACTTGAGACGGGTGGACCTCTCTCTAAGGTTGCACCAGATGCAGCACTGTGCTCCTTCTATTTCTCAAATATAGCTGACCTAGTTTTTTGATCCTCATTAATGACCCTGACACCAAAACAAGAAAAGGTCTGAAATAATGCACAGATTAATTGAAAAAAAGAGGTATATTTAAATGTTGAATGGTAAGTATGTTTGTGATAAAAACAGCAATTTCTGGATCTGCATTTATTTAATTTTATAATAAGACTTTATGAGATATAATCCTTGTTACTATAAGAGAAGAATTTAAAGAAGTAACCTCACATGTACTTGTATATGTGTAAACAATTAAACATTAGGTTTGAATGCTCCCTGTCCTGTTATCTGATATTAATACAGTAAATCTAAAAGTGTAATTTCTTTCAGGAATTAGACTTGAAATCTTGATGATGGGTGGAATTTTCCACAGTTGGTGATTAACAGACAGAATAGGGCGACAGACCGAAAGTCCAACATAGATGTGCTAAAGACTTTTAGTGGTTCACGCAGCATGTTGTTGGTATTCTTTTGTCATCCTTAAATACATCTGTACATATAGTACAGTAAAGCCTCCATTAGTTTACTTGTTGGTACAAAAGCTATGTTTCCATGCATAAAATGTCATGATCTCATTGCAAGAATAGTAAGGTTGTACTATTTTTATGTACACAAGTAGTTTAAATAAAATGTAAGATTGGACTAAAATGGAGTGATGATTGCATACTAGTTGTAGTATTCTGATATTGTCTAGCCACTTAAAGTGAAAATACGTAATGTTGATGCAGGATGCTTCTGTCAGCTTGTCTCATCCAGCATAGCTTGATCCCGATGGGTGTTCACACGCATGCCGATAGTCAATTAGCATAAACCACCCCTGTAATTCAGATTTTGATTTTATTCCGATCCTGCCAAATCTGATCAGAATATTTCGACTGGCACTTTTACAGGACATGTACAGTATATAGTCCAGTGACTTATATTCATGTAAAAGTAGCGGTTGTATCAAAGGATAAAAAAGTGAGATGAGATTCTAAGTGATTGTTTGGAAAGGATTTAAAACATTCTACTTGTTTGATAGATTAAAGTTGAAACCACTGTATTTGAAATGCACTTAAAAATCTACACATACTAATGCCAAAAGCTAACAAATAAATCTTTAGCTCAAAAATCATTTGGCCTAAAGTTTTTATGTGACATTACAGTTAACATGTTTTTGCTGCAAAGACACATCACTGAAAGTTAATTTTCTGTTTGTGCTCTATTAAAGGGGAGCATTCTCTGTGGTCAGGAGGTGTGTGAAGATCTCCTCTGGACAGGAGTATGCCGCTAAAATCATCAACACCAAGAAGCTTTCTGCTAGAGGTAAGAAATGCAAACAAACATGTAAGAACATACCTAAGAACGCGCTTTACATAAATACCAGAAACACGTCCTGCTTGCCACTTAGTAGAGGGCTTGAAATAAGAATGCAACCACATGAGTGTCAGCTTGGTATTTTAATGATATTTAGACACACATATACATCAGACATGTAGGCTGAAGGAATGGTTATGTTTTTCATTCGGTTTGCCGCAGGAAAACAAAATGAATATGTTGTCCTATATTTTCTAAATTGCAGTTCTAGTGTGGGATTTTCATTCCCATTTGTTTTATTCATATTTGTCCTTCAGTTTTTTATGCAAATATTAGTCATACTCACTCAACCTTGTGTGTGGGTGTGTGTGCGTGCATGTGTTCTGTATTGATTCAGGGCTCTAGTTGGTCTTGTTGTCCCAGGGGCAGATCTCTTGCGAAGCCGACCCAGTTCTTTCACATCCGTCATTGTAATTGTAGCCGCTGGCCTGGTTGCCTCCAGCTCGGAACACACACACACCCCCACACACATACAACCATATTCATACCCAAGCTTATACAGACACACTCTCCAACGTGCACATGCAAGCACAGCCGTGACCCAGCCTATTTGTGAATACAAACCTGTAGGGTGTTGCGCCTCTAAGGTTTCTTTTCTTCCGTCAGAACCCACTTTTATCAAGCATATGATTGTACAAAACAGGAACTGGTACTAGAACTGTCAGACAACTAAAACTGTTAAACTGGTAATGTCCTTAGTATTTTAGAACCCAAAATGAAGCTAGCAGTGACAACTGCTTGACCAGACTGTTGGTCTTGGTTTGAGTCCTGGTTTATGGTTGGACGTCACCTTCAATCTAACCTGTTCCTGATTAAACCTGGATTTCAGGTTTATATACTCTGAGGTTCATGGGATTGATTTCAATGGATGACCAACCCCATTCAAGAATTACCTTACCAATGGCAATGGAGAGACATGTTCTCTGGAGTGTTTTGTAATCCAGAGGTCTAGTTTGGGTTGGACAGTTGCAAGAAGAGGGACACTTAATTGACTGTATTGTTTCAAGTAAACTGTTGAAGTCGACTTGTTGGTGTTTGTGTAAGATTTTTCAGTATAACAAGAGATTTTGGAAAATCTCATGCTCCAACTTTTATAAGGACAGTTTGAGGATGATTGAATGAATTTGAGCAGAAAATGCAGGTAAGACCCTCTCATCCAATATTGGTGTGTTTTAAAAGCATTGTCAAAAAACCACCCAAAACACATTTTTAAACCCTTGGGGAAAACCTTTGTTGGAAATTGAAAGTAGATCTACTCAAAATATTAGGTTCTAAATAAATACATATAAACACTTAAGCTATGTTTCCATGCACAAAAGATTACATGAATATGTATTCAGACACATGAACAGAAAATAGTAATAACATAAATAAAATTAAGTAACAAATAATCAGAATAAACTAATTGGAATGTAAATGTAAACTTGCCAGTTGGAATATTCTGGCAAACTTTCTATTCACTTTAAGCAGAAATGCGTCATGTTGAGGTAGGATATATAGAAGGTGTCTATATTGTCATTGTCAATTGGCATAAACCACCCTTCTCAGTTGTAGGGATGTGGAAAAATCAATTTGGCGATATGTCATGATTTTCAGCTGCCCAATATAGTATCGATCTTTCAGTTCCTAATATTTATTTAAAAAAATAAAAATAAAAAAAACAGCACGGATTCTGATGAACATATACAGCACTTGCTTTTTTTCTATACATTTGATTTTGATAGCTGGGAAAAATATTGCAATATCATGATAATATTGTATCGTGATCCAAGTATTGTGACATGTTGTATCGCAACAAGCATGCCAATACTCACTCCTACTCAGTTGGATTATAATTTTCTTCAGATTCACATCATGCCGAATCTGATCACAATGTTCCAACTGACATGTTTACATGACACGTCTGTATGTGTATTCTAATTACAAAGCTAAATATTTGTATATCCTGATATACCGCGCAGCCCTAGTACATGCTCAGATGTGAATACTCAACTTTTTAGTCCAGTGGTATGTAGTTCAAGATATTTGTCTATAAGTGACCTATAATTTAAGACTAAAAGATGCAAAAGAATCTTTCTTCCTCTGAGATTATCAACAAATACATCAACAATGCTGCTTATTTGCCACAGTCGACGGGTTAACAAACCCTCCTATCACAATGGCAGATGAACTCTGCACTAAAAAGGCCTACAACGACTTTGCAGAATCTCTCTGAAAAAATACAGGATATTAGAAAAGCATGTTGCACATCAATGCTAACTACAGCATCAATGTTGCCTCTAGTTAGAATATACTGTTAAATATTCTTGTGAAAGTACAATCTGTTGGGCTCCTTTTGGCATCAAGACAATTATTCTTATTGCCCCCTTGCCAGACAGGACACTGTAAAAAAAAAAAAAAAAAAAAAGAATATGCTGTTAAAATGTCCCAATTCTGCCCAATAAAACTGTAAAAGTTTAGATGAGACTGCCCAGCAGCTAAGCTCCTCTCCCTGCTTTCTTGATGTTTTACCCACAGGTTTGCCAAAAAAGTCCATCAAACAGCTGCAGCTGATCCAAAACTCTGCTTCCCATGTTCTCACTAGAAGTAAGAAAGTAGAACACAGGAACCTGGTTCTGAAGTTTTTTTCACTGGCTCCCTGTAGCTCAGAGAATGGACTTTAAAATCCTTCTGTTAGTCTATAATTCAATCAATTGATCAGCATCTCAATACATACCAGATTTGTTGTCAGTGCATCAACCTCCCGGACCAATTAGGTCTTCTAGTCCCAGACTACTCTGTACACCCAGAACTAGAACCAAACATGGAGATGCAGCATTTAGTTCCTATGATCCACTTATCTGGAGCAAACTTCCAGAAGACTGTAAAAGTGCTGAAACCCTGAGTTCTTTTAAGTCAAAGTTAAAAACACATTTGTTTAGAGCTGCCTTTGACTGTTGAAATTAAGATGTATTATTAGTTTAAGGTTGTGGTCCAACTGTTTTGTTTTCTTCTCCGCTTTGATCATGTTTCTTTTACTTGCTTTTATTCTGTTTTTTTTTGTGGTCCAATTTTTTTGTTTTACAAATGCTTTTTTTATTCTGCTTTTATTTTTCTTCTCTTTATTATCCAATTTACATAAAGCACTTTGAATTGTCCATGTACTGAATAGTGCTATACAAATAAAATTGCCTTTCCCTTACATTATTTATGGGGAATGAGCTAATGGTCGCATGCTGCCGGTACAGATCTGGTAGTGACAGGACCAAACAGAGCTCAGCAAGAGGGAATATTTAAATTTGATTGGTCATCATGATTGCAGAACTTCAGTTTCTGCAAAGCAGATGTACTCCACCAGTCCTAACCAGCACAGCCCAACAAATAAAACTCTGCCTCCTTATTTGCATATAAGAACATGAAATAAAAGGAGCTTAAAATGAAAAACAGAGTTAAAGAATGAAATGACCTAATACCTAAACTAGCTTTACAAAATGAAAGTGTCACAAAATGATGCCCCATTATCAAATAAATAAATAAATAATAAAATGCATAAAGAAATTATGTAATTAATGAATCTTTGATGAGATATAAAAATCTTGAATTTTAATAAAATGAGATAGATATTGTAACATACATTTTTTCATTTCATGGGTATATTTATTTAATGGAATATTTGTTGAAAATGTATCGATAGCAGTATTTATTTATTTAATTTTGACTGAAACTGCTCTCAATATAGATCTGGCCAATAAAACAGCTCTAATAACTTGGCAAAAAAATATTTCAATTCCAATGATAGCCCTTGAGATTTAATGTTTATTTTGTCTACACCTGTGTAGCAGTATTTCTATATATACGTATTGCATTCTGTGCGTTACATTGCTCTTTCTTATTTCCATTATGTATTCCCTCTTACTGCTGTCCTGTCCTTTAAATGGCATGAAGACTATTCTCACGATTTTTCTCTTCTACCCGTGTTGACCCTCACTGGGTGCACAGTCGGTAACGGACACCTCGACAGAAGGATCAGTGTCTCAGCGCTTGCATGGACAGATTTTCCAAAAATACTGTGAAGAAAAAAACCCTGCTTCAGCATGTGTGACTGCATAATAAAAACACACACGTTACCTCTTTGCTTGTGTATTAAAGGTTTATGTACAGGGCATGCTTACGTGTCAGATATAGGTTTTATTGCTTTATGTGATAAGCTCCAGAACTGCAACTCTGATTCCTGGTTCTCTGGCAGGATCATAACCCCACCCCCCCCTGTCGTATGCAATTGCATGCGTGTGTGTTAGTATCTGTAATTTTCCAAGGTTTAAGACAGGACTAGAGGCTGAAATGCTGGCAGATAAAAGCAGCGTGTGCGCATTGGCTGTTTCTGGTGGTGTGGGCATGTATGTGCGGTGGTCTTGCTGGGGCCGGTTGCTCCCTTTTAATCTACAATCTTGATTATGCAGCATTTCATTAGGAGCAGCGGATGAGTCAGGGAACAAGAGGGGGAAAGAAAAAATAGCAAAAGCGGAATAAACTTGTAGGAAGCAGAGAAAAGGAAGATAATAAGAGAACTGATAAGTCAGACTTTTTTGGGTTCATGCATTGAGATTCACACAGTGGTTGATTGTGCTCCCCCTTTATGCACGTGTCAATGTCCTGTCACTTTGTCTCTGCTTCCTATCTCTTGTCACTTTAAATTTGCTGGTGGTGCGCTGTGGATGTGTGGGTGTGCGCTGCCGTGCTGTTGCTCATGTATGCCTGTAATCCCTCTCGTTTTTAACTGTCATAAATGTGAAAAAACAAAGCTTGTTCATTTATTTTTTTCCTCAGATATTGCACTGTACAATCCACTAAATGGGGACAGGCTTGTGTTTTTGGATGCAGCATTTCAGTATTTGAGGATTGTGAGAATTTATCATGAATTTCTCCTTTTTAATGATGATAATTTTCAGCTAACCTTTGGTCAAAACAGG